TCATGACTCTGACCTCCTGGCTTGTACAATCCTTTCTTTCTTTAACAGGACTTGGCCCTTGGCCCAATGCTTGTCTGTGGGTCGCTGCATCTACTTACATCAGTTACTGGATGAATGCTCTCTGATGACATTTAGAAGAGTTACAGATCTGATTACAAGAGAAAGCACCCTCTGCACTATAGCTAGGAGTGTTGGCTGGGGTCATCCTTGTGGATTCCAGGGATTTCCCCTGGCAGTGGTTTTCTCTCTAACTCCAGAAGCCCCCTATGAAGATATCTCTTTCATTATTCCTCATCTGTCTTGCCCCCAACCCACCAAAACTGATCACTCTCACGTTCCCATACCTCCATCCATCCCCTGCCCCAGTTTACCCAGGAGATCCCAGGGAAATCCATGCATTTCTCTTAGGGTCCTCCTGGCTTCTCTGGGGCTGTGGATTGTAGCCTGATTATACTTTAATTTACAACTAACAGCCACGTTTGAATGAGTATACGCCATGTTCGTCATTCCATGTCTGGATTATCTCATTTAGGATTATTTTTTTCTAGTTCCATCTATTTGCCTGCAAATTTCATGATGTCATTTTTTTACAGCTGAGTAATACTCCATTGTGTTAAATGTACCACATTTTCTTTGTCTGTTCTTTGGTTGAGGGCATCTAGGTTGTTTCCACATTTTGGTATTTACAAATAACACTACGACGACATAGTTGAGCAAGTGTCTTTGTGGTATGATTGAGCATCTTTTGGGTATATATCCAAGATTGATATAACTGGGTCTTGAGGTAGATTGATTCCCAATTTTCTGAGAAACTGCCATCCTAATTTCCAAAGTGGCTATACAAGTTTGCTATCCCACCAGCCGTGGAGGAGTGTTCCCCTTATTCCACACCCTCTCTAACACAAGCTGTCATCAGTATTTTTGATTTTAACCATTCTGATAGGTGTAATATGGTATCTCAGAGTCATTTTGATTTGAATTCCCTGATGGCTAAGGATGCCGAACAATTCTTTAAATGTATCTAAGCCACTTGAAATTAATTCTTCTGGTAAAAATTTTCTGTTTAAATCTGTATCCTATTTTTAATTGGATTATTTGGTATTTTAATGTTCTTTTAAAGCCAAAATAGTTAAGTGGGTTGAATTGGGTTGGGAAGGGAAGATGGATTTGGGAGGAGTTGGGGGAAGGAGAATATTTGTAGGCAGTGAGAGGCCTTGGAGCACTCAACCCTAAGCAGATGCCTTTATCAACTTGCTACCCTAAAGGCTCAGGGGTCTACACGGAAGAAAAGCCAGTGGTGGTGGGAGCAGCAGTTTCCAGATACAAAAGGTCTGTCGCACTTAGGAACTCACAGAGACTGTGGCAGCATGAACGAAATGCGTATAAGTGCAAGCCAGAAAAAAAAATCCAAGAATGGAGAAAGAGATAAGAAACTCTTTGAAACTGACATCTGCTGGGGAGAAAAATCAGTTTTCCTTGATGGAGTGAAGCTGGGCGCATCAGCCCCATTCTAGGACAGGCTGCCGCTCGTGAGTATTTGGCCAACACAAGCTGTCCTCATTGGCTTTTGTGTGCTTTTACATAGTTTTGTCTTAGTTTTTTGGGGGCTTGTGTTGTTGTTCTTTTAAAGAAAGAACTAAAGAGAAAAAATTATATTGGATGAGCAGGGAGGTGGGGGAGGAGCAAGGAGGAGTTGAAGGAGGGAAAAGAATATGGTCAAAATACATTGTATTAAATTCTCCAAAAACTAACAAAATATAAAAAATAGGAAAGGAAGAAGCCAAATTATCCCAATTAACAAATGACATGATTCTGTACTAAGTCCCTAATGATGCCACAGAATAGTGTTAAACTTAAAAAACAGTTTCAATAAATATTCAGTATATGAAATTCAGTAGCTTTCATATATACAAGTAATGAACTTGCTGAGAAAATATAGGATAAGTAGCTCATTCATAATAACCTCAAAAATAAAACATTAAAGTCCCTAGGAATAACCTTACCAAATAAGCGAAAGACCTCTATACTGAAAACTTTAATATACTGACAAAATAA